CTTGAACTTTGGTCCAATTGGCGAGATCCCGCGCATGCTCAGACCCCCCAAAGGTTCTTTATCAAAATAATAATTTCACAGCTACCTCTCTAGTGTCAGTTATGTAAAGGTTTCTGCTCGTCGGCACGAGCAAAATGTGCCCCCTTGGTTTTGTTGTTCTACTAAATCATTATCTATAGGTGTTAAAGGAATAATTTAAATATTACATGTTTCATGTCAATTGTTGTTAGTGTTTATCGATTATACGTAGGGAGTATAGTTGTTTTTAGATAAATCAGGTGAGTGTTTGTGTGCCGTGAAAAGAGCGTTTTACCTGCTTATGTTTTTATTTGTAATAACACTTTTATCTCGCACTTTATTAAGGCGCATTGTTGTTTGCGTTTAGCTGTGACTTTTTTATTTATACATCTTACATCTTTATTGCAACCTGACTCAGTTTGACATTATTAGGGTCGCTAAAACAGAAGATTGATGTTATACCGCCGTTGTAAATCAGAGCTGTTAAGTGAGATATAAATTTAGTGCAGAAAGGTCAAATAGGACCATTATGAAATGCGTTTGTGTCGTTGTTATGCATATGACTTGTTTTTCAACAGGTAACTTACATTCGGCACACGAAGGTTCCGAATTAAATATTGTATATTCCTCGTACAAGTTTCTGATTAACATTTTGGTATAATGTGATAATAATAAAAATGCTCTCCAAAACAACAACAAAATTTTAATTAACCATTATGAAAAAAAAGCAGAAAACATATCGTTTTCTTATAACATCAGCGCAATCAAAAGTTCCACGTTTTTTTTTGTATTATTTAAGAGTTTTTGGAGTCTCTGCCAAGCCCTTAGCGATTTTATTATTCGCCTTTCATTTTCGCAGATCAATGATAAAGAACAAAAGGTAGAGCTCCCATTCATTTCGTCTCAGTTTGCATGGTACTTTTTAGTTTTTGTACGATAGCAAAAGTAAATACAATGAAACAACGTAACTCTAAACTAAGCAAGAAAATTTATGTAAATATACAATTCTGCGAGTAAAATTTTGTTCCGCGCCTGTTCATTTAATTTGTTTCATAAAGAAATTCTGTTTATTGTACAAACTTGGGGCGTGTGATATGAATAACAATGTGCATTGTTATCCGAAAATTGGATGTCATGATTGTATACAGCACATAATAAGTTTTACATCCTGCTCTAATCAATTTACGTGGCTTGCATGGTTCTCTTCCGAGAACTTTGGCCCATCCCGCCTAACAAACTGGTTAAATGTTGTGTAAGGGCTGAGTCTTACATGTCAACTGTACAGTCTCTATACTAAACGTTCAGCACGCTTCGGCACCAAGCGTCCAACCCTACTTACTACCTTAGCAGCAATAGAGCTCCTTGTGAAAGAGTTCGTCCAGGGAAGTACTGCCACCTTACCTATTTCTGTCGCTAAGCAGTAATGTTAGCATTACTGCGTTCCGGCTTAGAAGAGTAAGAAAAAAAAGGTAAGGGCGAAATTACAGGCACATGGGACTTGTTAATGTATATCTCAGGGTGACGGGCGCAGTGGCAGTACCCCAGTGCCCCTCAGATCTTAAGCTCAGAGTAGCACTGCAACAGTCATGGACAGGCGTGTAGCTTACCATCAGGCGCACGCCTTGTTCGTCCCGTCACTTGATATTATAAAAAAAAAACATCTTCTCCAACAGATTTTCTCACAATGTTTTTCGTCACTGTTAAAACAAATCATAATAAATCAAAACAGTACCTACAAAAATTGAAAAGACTCAAAGGTACATACATATGCTGGAAATCCAAGTGTTCACCAATTTTGTTTAACACGATCACTCCTTTAGCTGTCGTAAAACTAGTAGGTACCTATTATAGCGGACTGTATCAATGTGGCTCGAGTGCTATTGGAGTGTGAGCAAGATCAAAGGGAGCGTACAATTTATTTACAATGTCAATATAAAATTAAACTGTTAAAAAGATTATATAAAATATATGTACAAAAAAGATTTGTAGCGACTGCTGCGATTCGTTACACCTATTTTGCATTGACAATCTATACTTAATCTCCTAATATTCCTTCTAGAACATTTGCAAACACAATTGACGTACTGTATTTGACAGAGAAGATATAAGGTATTGCCCTTAGCGACGGCGACGCAAACGACTTTATTGTCGCTTATGGACTAAACACGCTATATTGACTTGACACGTAATTAAACCGAAACAATGTAGCCCAGATTAAGTTTGGTTTTAAATATCATATCTAGAAAAGCACGCGGAATAATTGAGAGTCATAAAGAAATCTTCTTGGGGTTCCTCTTGTATCGGAGGTGGGACAGCGTCATGACGATTTTAGGGGCTGCCACTCTAAAAAGCGAAGTAATACAGCCGAACTATTCCTTCACTCAAATCAGGAGTGCCGCCCTCTACTGACACTTCATTTTCCACCGATTTTGCCCTGGATGATAAGCTAGAGTATAGTACTTTTTTTTATAAAACCAAGTGACGGGACGAACATGTCGTGGGCCTGGTGGTAAGCGGCACGCCTGTTCATAACTGTTGCAGTGTCACTCATACTTTAAATTGCAAAGATCTGAGGGGCAGTGGCAGTGCCCCTCAGATGCGTCCGTCACCCTGAGACATAAGTTGACAAGACCCACGTGCCTGTACTTTAACCAGCAGCCTTACGCTTTAAAACCTGAACACAATAATACTAACATTACTGCTTGGCGGCAGAAATAGGTAAGGTGGCAGTACTACCCTGGACGAACTCTTTCACAACGAGCTCTGTTGCTACTAACTCTATTAGATGTTCCTCATGACATGAGTCGTGACCGAAGTACGACATCTTCCTGCATTTAATGGTGTTCATAAGCTCTACATTTTTCTTTAGCTCATTGAGTACTTAAACATTTGTAACCTGGTCACGCTATGAGATTCTCAAGATACGGTAGTAAACTCACATCTCAAAAGCGTTCTTCCTTGTAGTGTTCTCTGTGAAGGTCCAAGTCTCTACGCTGTTTCTAACAATGAAACAGATCGTACCAATTGGGCCCCAAATCTGCTAATTTTAAATCATCTCAGTTGTGTGTCGACGGCTAGCCAGTGACAAGCTACTTCTTTTAACTTTCAGCAGAATGCCAAACGTACAAAATCTTGCCATTGACATTCCATCTACACACAACTGAGATTATTTGAAATTAATAGACTTGAGGCCCAGATCAGTCATATCGTTTTGCTCAATTTTTAATTTTTGCCTAATTATTGCTTAACTTTATCTGGTTTTGCTGTTTGAAGATGAACAAATTGTTGAATGTGAATTTGATCCAGTCATATATGTATAGATAGAATAGTCATACTCTCGTGCTTCCAAAATATTACCTTTATATAACGCAGTGCATACCTTTAATTTAAATGCATGCTTAGTACGTGTGGCGCACTATAAGTTTCCGGAATGAATAAATAAAAATACTGTCAATGGTCAGATATGAATTTATTTTTCTCAAAATATTCTCCGTTAGCGTTAATGCACTTTTTCGTACGAATAAACCAATTTTGAAAACATTTATGCCACCCCTCCGTGACAATCACTGAAACATATTTTTCATACTCTTCGACAGCCTCTTCAGGTGATGAAAATCGTTGACCGCGTAACTGGTTCTTAATTTTTGGAAATAAATAAAAGTCACAAGTTGCCAGGTCGGGACCGTACGCGGGATGGCTCATAAGGTCAACGTTGTTCACCTTAAAAAATTAATTTGTCTGTCAATAACTTCCGGCAAACAAATGGTCGTGTACCAATCACTATTCACGGTACAACGATTCTCCAAAGCAACAGTAGCGACGTGTCCAGTTTTATTAAAAAAGAAGCAATCATTCGCTTAGAGGCACTTTGCACGCGCGCCACTTAGGTTGGTTTCAGCTCATCTCGAAAGACCCATATACTCGGTTGGTGCTTTGTTTTGGGATCGTAACTATAAATCCATGTTTCGTCACCTGTTACTATGTCCCACACCAAATTTGAGGCCCCTTCCATGAATCTGGTAAGCATGGCGTTGCACCAAGTGACGCGTTCCGTTTTTTGAGCCTCAGTCAAATTGTGTGGGATCCACCGAGAGCACAGTTTTTTCGCACCCAAATGTTTGTGTAGTATTGATTGTATTTGACTCATGCCTATGCCTAAAGATGTCCGAATCTCATGGTACGTCACATGCCTGTCTGTTTTGATCATACCGCGCACAGCATCGATGGTTTTGTTGTTCACACCAGTGGACGGGCGACTATCACGATACACGTCACCGAGATTCACACGGCCGAGTTTGAATTATGCAAACCAGCTATAAATAGTCGTCTTGCATTCATCTTCATCGCCAAAAGCAGTTTGAAGCCGAGTGAAGCTCCGCTGAGCTGTTAAATTACACTTAAAGTCGTAGAAAATCATACTACGAAAAATTTTCACGACTTAAATCCATGATGATGTAGACAACCAATTTCTATAATGACGCCACAATGTAAAAACAAGTGACAGTCAGATGAAACAAACTGTACTCTACAGCCAAAGTGTTCCATTTTCAAATGTTGTAATTATTTTTTAAATATTGTTTATGTAAATTGGTAGTTCCGGAAACTTACAGTGCACCCTATGTTTGTGTATGTATTTCGTTTTTATAATAATATAATATAATATATAATATTTAACGTATGTATACGTTTTGAATGAAGAAGGTTCACAACCTTCAGAAAACGTGTGAAATCCCCAACCCGCATTGGGCCAACGTGGCGGACTATGGCGTAAATCTTCGCCTGAGAGGAAAGCCCTGCCCAGAAGTTGGACGAATAAATACTTATTAATAGTTTCTTTTCCAATTTAGCAATAAGGACAGTTCTTTTTTGTAAAATATTTTACGATTTCAATATTGCCTATGATAATCAAACGTTAATTTCAATATGCAAATACATTTCGTTGCAATCTATAAAACGTTGTAATTCTCTTTTTTCAACAACAGTGTCCCAAGTCACAATGCCTGACTGGACGTGGCTGTTCCTATCAGCTCTGTTCGGAGCTCTGTGCACGCTGGCCGTGCCGTTGGCTCTCTTTGTCTACTATCTTCGTCCTTTCGAGAAGAAACGGTCTGATGCACAGTTCGCTATGCCCGTCACAAGTATACCTGCAGTAAGTATAAGACGCCTTTTTTAACCGACTTCAAAAAAAAATTTATATGTTACTCGATAACTCCAGTTTTAATTGTGAATCGATTTTGATGATACTTTTTTGTTGCAAAGAGGGTACCTCAGTAGTGGTCCCATTTAAATCTGAAGAACATATTCCACCTCTAAGCGTGGCAAACTAGAGGATGAATGACTTTTGAGGTCGGTTTTTTAATATTCTGTAGGTACTGAGATTGTTGTTATTCAATAGCCGACTTTGCCAATTACAACGTGTTCATAAAAAAGTGTATACTGGATTGCTGAACTCCTGAGCCGATAGGCATACTTACGATCGAGTACGAGTTACGATACGGTGTTAGTACGACATACGATAAGGTTCATTTATATACTTTTAAACTTTTGCCGGTGCATTATATATCACCCTGCAGGAAAAAATTCATTGCCGCAGAAGACGTGGTCGTAGGAAAACCACCTGGCTTGAAAATCTTGCAGAGTGGTTCAAGATGAGTACCAACTTCACGGACCCAAGTAGCCATAATGATAGACGACCTCCGTTGGGAGATGGCACCTCAAGAAGAAGAAGGTGCATTATACTAACATTTCAAAACGGGAATAAACGCAATTAAACAATTCAACGTATATACGGTAGGGCTAGCACGATAGAGCGCGACTTGCGTATGAGCGACATAAAGCGCGATATAAAGCGCGACATACTGCTAATCCCGCATAGTGAATAGCAATATCTTACGCTTCTACAGGTTACATTGGCCGTGATCACGGGCTGACTGTTTAAGCAGCTGTTATAGTTGGCTTATTGGCAATCCCTCGCAGCATTGAGTTGCCTCCATCAGTTACTAGGAAACAAATTCAAATGTTTATCCTAGATATGTTGTCTGGGCAAGCGTTTTTGCGAAAGTGACTCGGTCAGAACTGAGACTAGTCGATTCTTGGGGTTAACAATTCTTTCTCCGTATGCAGTTTTAACCAGCAGTAGAGCTCCTTGTGAAAGAGTTCGTCCAGTACTGCCACCTTACCCGTGTTACTCTGTTCCGGTTTTGAAGGGTAAAGCTGCTGGTAAATTACAGGCACTTGAGACTTGTCAACTTATGTCTCAGGGTGACGGGCGCAATGTCAGTGCCCCTCCGATCCGTGCGATTTAAAGCTCTGAGTGGCACTGCAGCTGTTATGTGCAGGCGTGTAGTTTACCATTAGGCGCACGACTCGTTCGTCTCGTCACTTGATATTATAAAAAAGGCGGGTGTCAGCATCTTGTAGCCGTGCGAGTTTTTCTAACTACCCGCACTTGATCTTCAATATTTATTTGTGCACTAGGGTTCTGTCGCGACTGTTGTGTGTCGGTCTAGTGAGAACTCTAGTGCACAAATAAATAATGAAGATCAAGTGCGGGTAGTTACGGCTTGTCCGTCCCGTCACTTGATGTTACAAAAAAATAAAGTTATTGTTCGTTATACGGGATAATATTGTGGTTTGCAAATACCTATTTAATTGCTTAAGCGCATTTATTCCTGTTTTGAAAATTAGTGAAGTGTCATTTAATTCATAAAAAGTGCCCTTGGAATAACGTCAGGAAAATTTCAATATGACGGAGTGTAAACAGTCCACAAATTATTGATACGACTGACATCTCCTTACTACGTAAATTTACCGATGACGTTTAGTATTTGTGTAGTATTTAATTCACACATTTGGATTACGTTTGTTAACTGCCTATGCAAACCCGTACATTCATTGAATGAATGCAGAGAAACGTGACCCGATGTGCATGAGATCGTGCTTTGCATACGAGCTTATATAACCTATATCTTGTTAGCTGGACTTAGTGTAACGTATATTACGCCCACGGCAACAAAATTTGCATCCTGTAAACACGATGTAAGCGTTTCCAGTCTCTAAATACAGGCGTAACCGTGTTTAGGGCAAAACGAGGCGGATACGTGGACTATATTATATTTACTAATGATGTCCTACTAACATTTTGACTGAATTTCCCATCATTTAATAAAGATTAAATTGTAATTATTTTAGCGACAAATTTAAAACATCTCTCTTTTTCGGAAGAGTTTCCCATCATTCAATATAGATTAAATTGTAATTATCTTAGCGACAAATTTAAAACGTCTCTCTTTTTCGGGAGATAAAATTCTGTTTTATATGGATACGCCACTTGAAGTACTGCCACCTTACCTATTTCTGCCGCCAAGCAGTAAAGGGTGGTGGTGAAATTACAGGCACATGAGACTTTTCAACTTATGTCTCAGGGTGATGGGCGCAGATTTAAAACTCTGAGTGGCACTGCAACTGTTATGGACAGGCGTGTCGTTTATCATCAGGCGTACGACTTATTCGTCCCTTCACTTAGTATCATAAAAAAAATTTAGCGCTGTGGTGTTATGCACCAAAATTTGCAGAAAGCAAACACAATTTTGAGCGTTTTTATCCCGAACCCCGCATTCGTAGCGAAGCTGCTGAAACAACAAAATGAACTCCCGTAACTATTAAGAATTTTCCGTGCTAAACTTTTATGTTTGTGTTTTATGTACTTTTATGTGTACAAAAGTAAATAACAACCAAGCATAAATAGCAACCTGTAGCTTTGGGGGTACTGAATTGCAAAGTTGACCCTACTTATCACCGGCAAGTTTATGTTTTAGAAAAACATTCGAAAAGCGGCTAGTATTATATGGGCCACCCTGATCAGTATCCCGACGGTTAGTTACCTGAATAATACATCAGGTCACGAGTTACTACGTTTTGTGCCAGTACGATAGATATTCCGTAAATTATTTTAGAACAATTTTCTTGCTATTTATCGTTCTATATCGTCATCGAGTATATAACCAGAAATAGATATTTAATTACCGATGAACTGTGGTTTGTTTTGTAATTAAATGTTTTGCTGTTTTTCCCACGCCACCGAATGGAACAGCACGTTATTGTTGGAGATATTATCTTTATTTCAAAAAATACTGAATATTTTTTGGAATATAAAGAGACGTACCTACACACAGGTCAATTGTTGGCGCTGTACTATTTCAGTGCAAACGAGAGTTGATATTTATAATTGATGTATAACTGATGTGTTACCAGGAATGTATATTATTATTATTTTCGTATTTATTTTAAACTCTCGCCTCTCCCAAGGCCTAAAAAATTAATTTTAAATTTTTAAATGGGAGAGGCGGTATTTCCCGGCAATGGCACATTATTATTATTATTATTATTATTATTATTATTATTATTATTATTATTTCGTCTCTATTTCTGGTTATATACTCGATATATATCGATATATGTATATCGGTCTTTCACGGGTGGGATCCACTTAATTCGCCCAAAATAGAAGTTGAATGCAATTGGAAAGCACTCGATTGCATGCTGACAGCACGCTGACTGCACTGCTATTGTGACACAGTCGCGATGCAGCCACACGTGATGCATCGTGACTGTGTCGCGATGCATCACGTGTGGCTGCACCTTTGATTTTAACCAATAAATCATTACTGATGATTGATTCGAAACAAATTCAGCTAAAAGGTTTATTATTTATATTATTTAATTTCCTCCCTTGATATAAATGCTTTTTATACGAATTGGCATAGCGACTGTGAACTGGCAATCGGTACTATCTCAATTTTGACAACTTTACAGGTGAAGAACAGAATTGTTTGCGTCATTTATATAGCATCTGGTTTATTAAATAAAAATACGTAGTTTTTAAAATATTTTTATTGCACATGTATGTATGTACACTACGTATTTTTATTTAATAAACCAGATGCTATATAAATGATTTTTTCTTCATCTTGTAAAGTCAAAATTGAAATAGTACCGGTTGCCCACAGACGATAGGTCGAATAACTTATTTGCTATAATACGACAGAACCTTGTACATATATGATACAAGCTTAGATTGCTTCGATTGAGGAAGATTTGGAAAGGCACTGAAAAATCAATCTTATCGTTTTTGTGTAGATTAAAACACGAAATGAGGACAGCTCAGTGATTGATGACTTAGATTTCTTTTTAATTCGATTTTAAGAAGAATACAGTTATTTTCATTTAATAGCATTTTATGCAATCGTTGCTTAGTGAGGGATTTTACAGGCGAGTACCGTGTTTACCGTCTAAGAAATAGGTACGAGATTTTAAGATCTAATTATGTAACTATTGCACACAATACTTTTTCTACGAGTAAATAAAATAATGGCACACAACCAATATTAATGTATATTTTGTTAACAATTCATGACAACAAACTCAAACGAAAGCCTAACAAACGTTACAAAACAAAAATGAAAGAGATTCAATAGAAGCGGCAAAGTACCGCTTATATTTTAACCAATCTTTTTTTATATAAAGGTTTATGGCCCGGTTGCACGACCTTTAAGCCAATTTAACCAAAGAGGAGGCAGTAGAGCGTTTGAGTAGCTTGATATTTTAAATAGCAATACGACGTTCTTTTTTTGAAACTCATTATAGTTTTGTGTACCGAATTATGTAATTGAAATTTTTCATTTGAGTAGAGAGTACCATAGACAATGGAATTTTGATTCCGAACTAAAAAGAGCACCTTTCTGATAAGTCTATGAAATTATAATTGACAGATTAAAATACCTACTAGGAGTAGAAAAATATATTTTACATTGCCTGATAAATCGTTTTTAGAAATATATAGCGAAAATGTAATTTGAAAGGTACGCATCAAAGAGACCAAAAATGTCGTTGAAAATCCCAAATCAAAAGTTCTTAATTTATCTGTAGGCGAAGTCTCAGTTACAAATTAAATTTCCAAAAGGGACGAATCCAATACCTAACTGTACATTACACTTACCGCGTCAAAAGCGGGTGCTATGTAATTTCTTAAGGACTTCGAGGAATTTAGTTATTAAATTATTAATACAGGTTCAACGAAATCTACTTAATTTCATCCCAATTTAGACACCGAGTAAGGCACAGCAGTCCGCGTCCATTCAACTTACTATC